TCTCACCCTCCCTACTGTTCATCCTCTCCACTGTTCTCCCCAAAATCCCTACTGTTCTCCGCACAGTCCCTACTGTTATCCCACCATCCCTACTGTTCTCCCCACACTTCCTACTGTTCTCCCACCTTCCCCACAATTCTCCCACTCTCCCGCCTGTTCTCCCCACCCTTTCTACCGTTCCCTACTGTTCTCTCACACCTTCCTTACTGTTCTCCCACCCTCCCTACTGTTCTCCCACTTTCCCTACTGTTCTCTCACATTCCCTACGGTTCACCCACCCTCCCTACTGTTCTCTGACCTACTGTTTTCCCTACCCTCCCTACTGTTCTCTCCCACCCTCCCTACTGTTCTCCCAACCTCCCTACTGTCCTACCCACCCTCCCTACTTACCTCCCCACCCTCCATTCTGTTCTCCCCCCTCCCTATTGTTCTTTCCATTGTTCTTCCCATCCTCTCAACTGTTCTCCCCATTCTCCCAACAGTTCTTCCACCTTCTCCACTGTTCTCCAAACCCACCCTACTTTCCTCCCCACCCTCTCTACTGTTCTCACACCTTCCCTTCTATTCTACCCACCCTCCCTACTGTTCACCCTCTCCGTCACTACTGTTCTCACCACACTACCTACTGTTCTCCACACCCTCTCCACTATTCTCCCACCCTCCCTACTGTTCTCCTAACCCACCCTACTGTTCTCCTCACAGTCCCAACTTTTCTCCCTCCCTACCGTTCTCCCATCCTGCTTACTGTTACCCTCTTCCTCCCTGCTCTTCTCTCCACGCTCCCAAATGTTTTCCACACAACCCCTAGTGTTCTCCCACCCTCCCTGCTGTTCTCTCCACCTTCCCTACTGTTCTCGCACCGTCCCTACTGTTCTCTCGCCGTCCCTACTGTTCTCTCACCCTCCCAACTGTTCTCTCCCACCTCCCTACTCTTGTCCCGACCCTCCCTACTGTTCACCCTCTCCCTCACTACTGTTCTTCCCACCCATCCTACTGTTCTCCCCATCCTCCCTACAGTTCTCCCACCCTTCTTTCTGTTCTCCCACCCTCCCTACTGTTCTCCCCATCCTCCCTACAGTTCTCCCACCCTTCTTTCTGTTCTCCCACCCTCCCTAATGTTCTCCCCACCCTCCCTACTGTTCTCCCCACCAATCCTACTCTTCTTCCCATCCTCCCCACTGCTCTTCCCACCCTCCCTACTGTTTTCCCCCTACTCCCTTCTGTCCTCCCTTCCCTTCTTACTGTTCTCCCCACCCTCCCTACTGTCGTTCTCTCCCTCCCTACTGTTCTCCCACCCTCCCTACTCTTCTCCCCACCCTCTCAAATGTTCTCCCCACCCTCCCTATAGTTCTCCCACCTTCCTTACTGTTCTCCCCATCCTCCCTTCTGTCCTCCCCTCCCTTCTTACTGTTCTTCCTACCCTTCCTCCTTACAGTTCTCTCACCCTCCTTACTGTTCTCCCCACTCTCTATACTGTTCTCTCACACTCCCTACTGTTCTCCCCACTCTCTATACTGTTCTCTCACACTCCCTACTGTTCTCACCACCCTCTTTACTCTTCTCACACCCTCCATACTGTTCTCCCCACTCTCCCTACAGTTCTTCAACACTCCCTACTGTTCTCCCCACCCTTCCTACTGTTCTCCCTCCCTCCCTATTGTTCTCCCCTCCCTCCCTACTCTTCTCTCACCCTACTGTTTTCCCCATCCTCCATATTTATCTTCCCACCCTTTCTACTGTTCTCCTACACTCTCTACAGTTCACCCACCCTCCCTACTGTTCTCCCTACTCACACTACTGTTCTCCCACTCTCCATACTGTTCTCTCACCCTCTCTACTGTTCTCCCACCCTCCCTACTGTTCTCTCACCCTCCCTACTGTTCTCCCACTCTCCATACTGTTCTCTCACCCTCTCTACTGTTCTCTCTACTGTTCTCCCACCCTCCCTACTGTTCTCTCACCCTCCCTAACTTCCCTACTGTTCTCCCCAGCCTCCCTACTTTTCTCCCCACCCTTCCTACTGTTCTCCCACCCTCTCTACTGTTCTTCCACACTCCCTAATGTTCTACCCACCCTCCCTTCAGTTCTCCCCACCCTCCCTACTGTTCTTCCCACAATTCTTACTGTTCTACCCACCCTCCCTACTGTTCTCCCCACCCTCCCTACAGTTCCCCCACCCTCCCTACTATTCCCCACACCCTGCCTGCTTTTCTCCCCACCCTCCCTACTGTTCTCCCCACCCTCAATAGTGTCTGCTTCTCACGGAAAGGAGCGGAGGTTTCCACACTGCAGTCTACACCAAGGAAACATACATAAGAATGTGCCTCAATGCCAACAGTGACTGCCCAGACAGGTACTAGAGGAGGGTTGTTAACGCTTACGTCGACCGTGCTCTCAGCCACATCTCAGGATGGAAGCAAGTCGTTGAAGAACTCTGTAGGGTAAGGCAGGTCCTAGTCAACAACGGCTTCTCCGATGGTTTTGTTGAAGACATCATAAAAAGAAAGGTGAAACGCCATGCAACCTCTGAAGAGTCAACTAACACAACACCTGTACCCCCCTATTAGACTATTTTACAGGAACTTCTTTTCCACAGCTCATAAAACGGAGGAAAGGGTCCTGAAAGATATTGTTAATAGGAACGTTATCCCTACAGACAAAATTCAGAAGATACTATTGACGATTTACTATAAAACCAAAAAAACGGCCAACCTACTCATGAGAAACTCTCCAGTCACAAAGCAGAACGACTTAAAGGAGACCAACGCCGTTTGAGACCATTTGAAGGCATAGACCATTTGAAGGTCTATGCCTTCAAATGCCCACTTGGGGACTGTAAGCCTCAAAGAACTCAGTATATAGGCAAGACAACAACTTCTCTTTCCAGGCGTTTAACGATGCATAAGCAACAGGGTTCCATTAAGGAACATATAGTCTCTTCCCACAACCAAACCATCACCAGAGAAATCTTAGCAAACAACACAGAAATCATCGATAGATACAGCGATAGCAGGCGGCTTGACATCTGCGAGGCATTACAAATCAAGAAGTCAACACCAGCAATGAACAGCCAATTAATGCACAACTATATTCTACCCACTTCAAGGCTCCGCTCCAATATAGAAGCATCAAGAAATATGGGCCAATAAAAATAGGCCTTCTGCAGTTACCTACTTTTAATACCCATTGTTTCGTGTCCTGTCTTGTGTTAAAAGTTTATTTTCACCTCATCCAAAACTGTTGTAACATGTCACCTCACCCAAATGTAGATATAAAAACTCGAAGATGTTTAAGCTCTATTCAGTTAAAGTTGTGTGTGTGTGTATAAACTAAATCTTTGAAAATGTAATAAGTTTTACGAAACGCGCTCAAATGTCGCGTCAGACTAGAAATAAAAATGAATTTTGGAGAATTGATTTTTGAATTACCATCAACAGTGAAAAGAAACGTAAGAAAGATCGAGAAAATTCGTGTTAGAATTAATAATCTTACTTTTTCGGTCATATTTAATAATATATATACAGTATATGTCGTACCTAGTAGCCAGAACTCACTTTTCAGCCTACAATGCAAGGCCCGATTTGCCTAATAAGCCAAGTTTTCATGAATTAATATATTTTCTCTAATTTTTTTCTTATGAAATGATAAAGCAACCCATTTCATTATGTAAGAGGTCAATTTTTTTTTATTGGAGTTAAAATTAACGTAGATATATGACCGAACCTAACCAACCCTACCTAACCTAACCTAACCTATCTCTATAGGTTAGGTTAGGTTAGGTAGCCAAAAAAGTTAGGTTAGGTTAGGTTAGGTAGGTTAGGTAGTCGAAAAGCAGTTAATTCATGAAAACTTGGCTTATTAGGCAAATCGGGCCTTGCATAGTAGGCTCAGAAGTGAGTTCTGGCTACTAGGTACGACATATATATATATATATATATATATATATATATATATATATATATATATATATATATATATATATATATATATATATATATATATATATATATATATATATGCAAACGAACCTGAATTGTCTCCAGGACTATATGCAACTGAAAACTCACTCCCCAGAAGTGACTTGAACCCATACTGACAGGAGCAATGCAACTGGTGTGTACAGGATACCTTATCCACTCGACCATCACGACCGGACATAAGGAGGTGATAGCCGAAGCTATTTGAACCACCCGCCCGCCAGCACTCGGATGGTAATCTTGAGCACAGTATTTTACCAAATCACCTCATTCTTTGGAGCACACGTGAGGAACACAAATGGGAACAAGCCTGAATGGTCCCCAGGACTATATGCAACTGAAAACTCACACCCCAGAAGTGACTCGAACCCATACTGCCAGGAGCAATGCAACTGGTGTGATGGTCGAGTTGGCATTATTGGGGGCAATAGTGTTATCGCTGGTTAAGATTCTGATGGCACCTGTGGTATTGCCCTCTTCTATTTTCCTGGTGATCTGTGCTCTCATTTTGTGATTCTCAGGTGAATTATTGTTGGTCGTCCTGCAGCTGGTGTTCTTGGCACGAGCGGGGAGACGGACCAGGTTGTCTGCTCTGAGCAATTCATTAAGAGCTCTGATGACTGAGGTAGCTAATGACTTGTCTCTCCTCGGCTGTAATGCCAGGCATGCATTCCCATATAGTAGGAGATAGTAGGATATATATATATATATATATATATATATATATATATATATATATATATATATATATATATATATATATATATATATATATATATATATATATATATATATATATATATATATAATGATTTATTTATTTTGTTACTTTGTGTTACATTATTCAAAGATTTCATCCAGCTCTTCGGAGGTGGGGGGAGAGTAGTTATTATCCGAAAAAGATGTATTGTCCTAGATGCAGCTCAACTGTAGCACTGGGCTAGACTATAGGCAGGAAATATAAGCATTACAAAAAATTCCTGAGGAGGAAAGCCAGGCAGCGTAACACTAATAAGGCCTTACCAGCGAAGGAGACGACGACGGCCTTGCCGAAGAGTGAGCGGTCTCTCATGTCGTTCTGGATGGTTGGGAAGACCGAGGCTCCGCCGAATGAGAAAAGGATGGCCCCGAAGCCCAGAGCAAAGCTGGAGACGGTAGGGTTTTGATAGACTGGGTCGAATTTAGGGTCAGCCTCGACTAAAATCTCAACGAATATAACGATGCAAGCAATTGCTGTCGCCACAACAGCTATCACCGACGCTTGCCTGGAATGCCAAATGTATGTTAGTCATTGTAATGATACGGAAAGTCTAATTTATGGTAGCCCACTGGAATTTTATGGAAACTGATTTGTACACCAGCAATCTGGAATGACATTCAGTACCAGATTTACGGTAACCCACTGGAATGCAATACAATTATAAATATACGTGATGTAACCCATTGGAATGCTGTTGGATATTTCCAACATCGAATACAGCATTGTTGTATTCTCATTACTTATTACTAACCATACTTAATATTGTAGTAAGTAAAATTAACCACTCGTAGAATTCTCATGTACTAATAATTCATCTGTGCATTAGGCTAGAATTCTCACATCACCTGACGCCAGTATTGCGTCAGATTTCTTTACAGTAAAACACATTATATTCAATTTGTGTGAGAATTAAATACGATTCTCCATAATTAAAGCATTCTGTATGACAACTGATTGCAGACGAATTGTTCTCTAACTAAAAGCCGAATAGAGCGTTAGAATCATAGCGTCTACCTCGCGATAGAGTTAACGTCATCAATGAATGCCATGGGGAGACATTAATTCCTCTCCCTTCTATATTTACTATTCTTAAATAGTTAAATAATAATATTTCGTTCCTCTAAATAATAAACCCGTCCAGTCTTTAGAGTTTCAAGCGCGAATGCGAGAAATATTAATGTTCGTGACAATAATTTGTGTTATGAACGTCGACTCGGCGTGGGTTGGAGGGACGCCATCCCCCTCAGTACGCGGACACGTGTAGAGCCGAAAGGAGGCAAAGCCGCGCTTACCGTACTCATAAAAGACGCCATTGTCCAGCAAATAGGACAGGTGTTATCCATCCTCAGATGAAAGCCGCCACTGTGAGGCGTGAATGACCTTGCAGATAATATCTTCAACTAGTGCTGGTGTTAAATGAGGGACCCCTAGACTTGGTTCCTGACGACACGTGATCAGCCAGCTTGAAATGCATCATTATCCAGGAGAGGTTCACCGGAGCCTGGGATGCGATATTACGGCAATCTTAATACTTATACAGTGCCCACAGCTAAGTACCCTTTATTTGATGCATCATTTACAGGTCTAATAATAGCCGGGTGATTGTTCGTTATGCAACGGGATAACACCTAATAACAGGTGATTAGAATTCCATCTGTAGATATTAATATTTTTGAATATGAATTGAGTAGTTAAATCAATTGCTGCTGGTAGTTATTTATCTTGCAGCTCGAGAGAAGAATTCCTCATGCTGCCTTCTCCATGTTGAACCGTATCATTCGTCAGTGTACTGGACCTGGAGATTAAGAGGACTTCTATGGTTATCTAAAGGAATCTGCTACAAGCTAAGGCTTATTTCTTTTTTATCCATTTCCTTGCAATTTGATTCATTCAGAATGTTTGATATTAATGTGTGATTTACTGTGACTCATTACTATGCTCATATTCATGTTCTTCTTGATGTGAATGATATTACATTCAACATTATTTATAGGATTAGATTATTATTAATTGAATTAGTGAACGAACCACACTGATTCCTGGACGTACTTACCTCCAGTAATAACCCCCCAATGTAGGTGTTTGAGGTCTGTTTCTTTAATAATACAGCCCATTAATTATTCTTATGATCATATTTTCTAGCTATATCCATAGTCACTGGTTTTCTCTAGAAATTTATCTAATGATCTGAAATTCTCAGTTTCCCTCTTTACTTTAAAAGCGGGTGGTCCTTCGTAATTTAATTTACTACTTTAATTATTAATTAATCAGAATCAAGCCCAAATATCCCACATTATGGTCCTTCGAACCGGATAGGCATTAAATTTATAATTAAAATATTAACCATTAATAGCTAATCCTTGTGTGATAGAAGCTAGACTAACTATTTAATTAATTGTGTCAACTAACATTGTAACACATCAGTTAGCCTAGATCACACTAACATCTTGCTACTTTACCTCATGTATAAAGTGGCTTTAGTGGGTCATAGCCAATTACCCACAACACTTAGACCTATACCTCACACCGAGGTGAGAATCTTTAGGTCACCAGGAGCAACAGCTGATAACTTTTACAACAACACCACCCTAACACCTGCGTTAGAGTGGCCTCACCATCTAACCATTATATACTTAGGTGGCAATGACATCCACCCCACTCGTCATCCAGCCGAGGTGATCAAACACCTCAAAAACATAATTTCTTCTTTCAAGCTCATCAGTGAATCAGTAGTATTCACATTAGTGGAGCCTCGCCAACCAAGCCAAGATAACCGTTGGGGAGTAACTCCGGAATACTACTTGAGAGCTGCTAAGTACATAAATTTCAGGCTGAAAAAACGAGTGAGATTGGATGCCACATATATCCAATTTACAGCCAGACCTTACAGACAGAACCTGACCAGAGATGGTGTACACTTGTCAGGGGAATCTAGGTTGCATGTGGTTGACAAGTTAATTAACACCGTCAACCATCACAAAAGGCTGTGGCTGGCAAGCCAAACTTAACTGTACATAATTGTTCACCTGTGTGTGCAAGAGCACTATTATAAAACAAAAAACCCAAAAATACAGCACAACTATATTTACCTTATTGCACCACAATAATCTTTACCCATGTTCTTAGGTAGAATTTAGGCTGAGATTGTGCTGAATTTGGTACAAGCCCAGACTAAATAATTTTATAGTTCTTAGTTAGGAATTATTACGACTAGATCTAAAACTAGTCAGTGTTGTGTATATATTACATTATTGTGCTGACCCTCTACAGGGTGGGATAAATTTTTGAGATAACTCTGATTGGAGTGTCTCCATAATATTTCTCTTGTATACATTATTTTTGTGTATCTATTTTGCGTATTGCTGGATTATCTCCATTAACTCTGATGGTGATATGGATGAGCTAACCGGACTAATGGTGAAGTTCAGACAGTGCACAAAATATCTAGCTATTTGTTGTTAGGTAGGTACATTCAACCTCAAGTGAGGTAAAATATAAAGTAGTCACCTTAAATTAGACTACAATTAATGTTACCTGTTCACTAATGAACAAGTACCCAAGCTTCATTAGTAATACATATGCTAACACTGTGAAGTTTGAACCTAAGCCCAACATGGCTACTCCTGAACAATTGAGGAGAACCTACATTGGCCTTAAAGGTCACTTGACCAGATTAATTAATAAGGCTGATGACTTAACTAAAGATAATCCCGTTGACTCTTATCACTTAGAGTCAACAGTTAGATTGGCTGATCTGAAATTTGATCAAGTCAGAACTGCAGGTCAATCTTATCTTGCTCTGCTAAATACTGTAGAAATTGATCCTGATGAAGTAAGTCAAATTGTAAACGACATCTCCCAATATGAAGAGGAGACTCATGATAAAATTAAAATCTAAATTAGCCAAACAGTCTAGATCCAATGCCAGCAACACTGGGTCTCACTTCAATAATCACTTACCTGAGGTTCGTTTACCTACTCTAGACTTGCCCACCTTTTCAGGATTAGATACAGAAAATTGGGATAATTTTTGGACTTCCTTTGAAGTTCACATCCATAAGAAACAGTCTCTAGACAAAGTTTCTAAATTTTCATACCTACTCAGTCTTCTCAAAGGAGAGGCTAAAAAGGTCATACATAACCTTACTCTTAATGAGAGTAATTATGAGGAAGCTATAAAACTTCTGAAGTTGAACTATTGCAACAAAGAGTTAAGTATAGCTACCCTTTATTATCAATTGCTAGATCTGAATGCACGTAACAGTAGACCAGAGTCACTTCAAAGCTTCAGACTAGAAGTAGAGTCTCTAGTAAAGGCCTTAGGTACCAAGGTTAATATACCTAGTTCTGAATGGTCTATCAAGCTACTGTTACAGAGGAAATTACCTCGAAACGTCTTGACAGAGCTTTGCTCACATTATAATACTGAGTTTCTTACTCTCGATCAGATTTTCGAGGGGTTGAGGATCACAGTTAATAGGTTAAAGACTCATGACAAAATTAAACCTGAGTCCAAACCAATTAATACTGATATTTCAGTCAAACCTAAACAGACTCCAAGTAAGTCTAATAAATATAAAGCCAAACCTACTCCATCCACCAGGAAAAGAAGTGGAAATGTAGGTACCTATTCAGTATCTCCTTCAGAGATAACTCATGACTTGTCTACTAAAGAGACTAAGTCTATTAATCAAAGAAAGTGTCTGTTCTGCAATCAGGAACACACCACTTATCAATGCTCTGCTTATCCTACGTATAATGCTAGAGTTACAAGGTTACAGGAATTGCACAAATGCACTAAATGTATGGGTTCTCATGATCCCAAGAAATGTGCAGTACCACTACGTACTTGCAACCGTTGTAACCAAGGTGTACACCACTACGCCTTATGAAGGAAATCTCCTACACCAACTATGACCACTGGAGAGAATTTTACTAATTCTACTTCAGTGCAATATTGTAAAGTACATCACGAAGTGAATGTACTCGCTACTGAGTCAGGCAACAGTACTACCTTGCCTACCGCTCAGCTTAAATTAATAAACCGAAGATCTAGAATTAACAGTAGAGGTCTCTTTGACCAAGGTTCCCAAAAAACCTTCATCACGCAACAGTTGGTAGATGATTTAAATTTAAAACCTACCAAAAGTGTGAAGTTAAACATTTCTGGTTTCCTATCAAATAGTGGACCGCGTGACTACAAGGTAGTTAAATTACTAGTTAGACTAGGATCCTCTGCTAGCCCAATCCATGCGGTGGTAGTGGATAAGATTCCTATGGACCTGCAGGTCACAGGATTAGCTCGCACTGCGAGACACCTTAAGCGAAACCGCATGAGGCTAGCGGATCATAAAATAAATTCCGATTGTCTCACAGATATTGGAATATTAATAGGCGCGGATCATTATTACAAGTTTATCACTGGATGCACTAGGCAACATGGTATGAATTTGTTGTCGTCCGCAGGTGGCAAATTGCTCACAGGACCCGTGCTTTTCAGACAAG